AGTGGGGTCAGTGCACATTCCAGCAGCTGCTGCAGTGACTCCGTGGACAACTGCTGCCCCTGGCTTCGGAGAGACAGTAACCAGATGGATGAGGCCCTGGATTAGGCTCCATCTGGTCATTGCTTTGTATTTTTTGTTTGTTGAGTCAGGGTCTCTCTAATTTGCATGTGTGTGTGTAGGTGTGTGCATGTGCCAGAAGAGACCAGTGGTATTGGTTTCCCACCAGATATAGTTACAGGTGATTGTGAGTCAACTTTTGTGGGTGCTGGAAATCGAACTCAGGTCCTCTGAAGCAGCAGTGTGGGGTCTTACTTTTAAGATTTTATTGTTGTGTATGTGTGACTGCATGCCACATGCCTACAGAGGCCAGAGGAGGGTGTTGGATCTCCTGGAACTAGAGATGTTTGTGAGCCATCCTGTGGGAGCTGGGAATGCAACCTGGGCCGTTTGGAACAGCAGCCAATGCTCTTAACCACTGAGCCATCTCTCAAGCCACCGCCCCCTAATTTAATTATTGTATGGCTATGTATGTAGGTACGCAGGTGTGGAGGTTAGAGGTCAACCATTGCGAGTGGGTTCTCTCCTCCCACAGTGGGATATACAGGTGGTAAGTATGGCTGTCAGCACAAACACTTTTATCCACTCAGTCACCTCTCTGATCCCATTTTTTCCTTTTTCTTTTTTAAAAATAGGGTCTATCCATGTAGCCCCGGCTGGCCTGGAATTTGCTGTGTAGACCAACTGGTCCGAAATGCACAGCTATCCACCTGCCTCTGCATGTGAGTGCTGGGATCTAGATTTCTTTGTTTATCTATATGATTGATTTGTCTTTATGTAGGTCTGCATACCAAAGGGCTTCGGATCCCATTGGTCTACAATTATAGATGGTTGTGAGCTACCATGTGGGTGCTGGGACTTGAACTCAGGACCTGTGGTAGAGCAGCCAGTGCTCCTAACTGCACTCCAGCTCTCTACCTTACTTTTAAAGACAGGGTCTCTGAACCTGCAGCTCCTAGATTCAACTAGACTGGTTGGTACAGGAATGCTCCCGACTGTTTGCAAAGCAGACATTTCCTGAGATATGTCTCCATGCCCCTAGTGGTATGTTGCAGATCATGGAGAACCTACCCAATTTCCCACAATGCACCATGTTCCAAAAGTCAATGCACCCAATCTCTGCTTTCCACAATAAGTCAATTTTTACCATGTGGGAAGGGTAGAAAAGTTGTTCACACAATGCAACATGACTCTCAGTCTGCAATCCACAGAAACACATCTCTCACAATGACAATGTGCCATCCTATGTTTGACCCACAATGCAAGATTTACCTCTCCCCATACCTGGCACAGCGGGCACAGGAGCCTTGGGCAGACCTATCCAAGTTCAAGACATGGTCACCTCCCCTTCGAGTGTTTTGAAGTTGCCGCCCCAGCTCCTCCAGAATCGGTTTCACTGGGCCCAAGGCCTCCAGTTCGCTCTTCAGTGAAGCCACAGACACTGCTGACCTCTCCACCCTGAGATGGGAGAGAAGCAATGTGGGTGCTTGCAACAGTCAATGTGAGCCCAGAATCGGAGAGTCCACCTTTCGGTGCTGTATATCTGCCTGTCCTCTGCTCTGATGGCGTTCTCCATATCCACTAGGGATAGCAGCCAGGGGTTCTGCTAGGCAAATGTACTACTGCTGAACCACGCCCTCACTCCTCACAGGTGGATTCCAAAGCCACGCCCTTAATCCATAGCTGGGCTATTTTAGGCAGGGACTCTACCACTGGGCCACACCTCCACCCTCACTGGGGATTCTAGGCAAGATTCTTGGTATGGTCACTTGGCCCCAGCAGATTGATCAATCCTTTTTACTCAAGGATCTATCCCCCACCCCCCTGGGTTTGTTCCACTTTTCCCGGACCCCATGTCCCCTCCAGCACCAGCTGAGCCCTTACATAGTGCACAGCTCATCTGCCCGTCCTCGAAGCTCCTGCAAGCCCCGTGCAGACTGCGCCTGTTCCTGCTGTGCCCACTCCCACTGGCCAAGGAAGCCATCCATCCGGCCACCCAGCAGCCTCAGCGCCTCCTGCAGTGCCCCCTCCTGATTCCGCTGGGCTGCCAGGGAGGACACCTCCCTCCTGAGGAATCAGAAGGGGAGAGGGTCAGTAGAGATTTGACCATGCATGCCCCCATCGACCTCACCCCAAATAGATTCACCAAAATATTTTCTTTTTTTCACACAGGTTTCTTGTGTAGCCCTGGATATCCAGTGTCAGGGGTCCAAAAATTATTGATTGTAAAGTTTTGGTGTCCAAACCTCCGCTTTATTTCAAGAAACCTGAGTCTCCCATTGTCTTTCAGATGCTAAATTACTGAGGGATTCCTTGGCCTCAGTGGCCAAAGTCTGCTGGTTTGCATAACTACAGACATAGTCCCTGGGAGTTCGAACCTCTCCTAAGGGTTTGGTCTATGTGCCTAGGGACTGTCTAGGTGCCTTTTAGATTAAAAGAATCACTTGTATCAGCTTTATACATGCTAGGAAATGCCTTCTGCGGTCACCCCCACTGTTAGAAAGCCATTAAAAAGATGCATGAACCCAGGAGGCAGAGGCAGGTGGATCTCTATGAGTTCCAAGCCACAGAGAAACCCTGTCTCAAAAAAACCAAAAAAAAAAAAAAAAATGCATGAATAAACCAGAGACTCCAGTACGGATGGAGAGTCCTCCTGAAATGAAAAGATGTTTGTGTCTTGTCTTTATCACCGTTGGGTAGCTAGGAGTTTCCCAGTCCAGCACACCCTGACTCAGGGATGGACACGGGGCTGTTCAGCTGGCTCTAATTGTAGCCCAAAGACATCCGTCCGGAATAGATAGCCTCTGTAGCGTGGGACTGACACAAGCCAGTCCCAGGCAATCCTGGAATTTGTTTTGTAAACCAGGCTGGCCTCAAACTCACAGATATACACTTGCTCTGCCTCCCAAGTGTTGGGATTAAAGGCGTGAGCCACAACCACCTGGCTTTTTATTTTTGTTTTTGAGTAAAGATCTCTTGAAGTAGTCCTGGTTGTACTGGAGCTCTCTATGGGGGCCAGGCTGGCATCCAACTCACAGAGATCCTCCAGCCTCTGTCTGCCAGTGCTGGGATGGAAGGTGTGCGCCACACGTGTGCCCCGCCTTTTTCTTTTCACCTGTGAGCTGGGTCAGGCCTGGATCACTGATGTCACCACCCAAATCCTCATCTAGGTCCTGCGGCCAAACCCTCTCACCTAGCTGCTCTAAGCCCCGCCCACCCAGCCTCCACCCTCCCGGAGACCACGCCCTTTGTTCCACCGGAGACCTGGTCCAGCCACCTCCTCCAGTCCCCGCCCACCTCAGCTCCTCCAGGCTGGAGGAGACCTTCTGCAACTCCTGCTCTGTCAGCGAAGGCCCCTCTCCTGCCCGGAGGGCCATGCCCCAGCCGCTGGAGGCCAGGCCTCGTGGCCGCGGGGATTCCTCGGGGCTGCCGGGTGGGCCGGAACAGCCCTGACTGGGAGTGGCGGGGCTCAGGCCATGCCGGGAGAGGCCAGCCTCCAGCTTTTGCTCCAGCTCCTGCAGCTCCGCCTCCTGCCTCTGCGGCGTCTCATCCTGCAGTTGCTGCTGGAGGTATCTTAGCTTCTCCTGGGCAGGGGAGGGCAATGAGTCGGGGCGTCCAGCGCCGTGTCACCCTCAGCCACGCGCACCCCAGGGGTCCCCGGGACTGCAGAGCAGTGTGGGAAGAGGAAACTGGGAAGGATGCTTGCAGTCCAACTGGCCTCGTTGCTGTCGTTCGGATAGGAGATACCATTTACTCTAAAACCGTTAGCTGTTTCTAAGGCTGCAACCCGCCTACCACGCCCTCGCTTGCTCTGCCTGTCAAAACCAGCCCGTGCATCTCAGGTGCCACGACGAGCGTTCTCGGCGGTTTGCTGGAAAGTAAGCTGGCACGTATTCACCCTAGACACTCCTCCACCTCCACCTCCACCTCCACCCAGGGACTTCGGGCTCCAGGCTCCCAAACTCAGCTTCCTCAGGCTCCACCTTGGTCCCTCCCACCAAACCCCCTTTGGCTTCTCCCATGGCTTCCTCCAGCCCGACCTCCAAGCTCCAGTCAGGTCGGAACCCCTCGGCTCCTGGAGGCTCTGCAAGCTCTACACACTGTGCCTGCCCTCCCCAGTTCCTCCAACCCCCACCCCTAGGCTCTACGCAAACCTCCCACTAGCTCGGGACCCTCCACACACTCTCACCTCCAGCAAAGCAGAGTTCTGCTTCAGGACGCTGGTTTTGATCTCAGCATCTTCCACTGAGCGCGCCACCTTGCGGCAGTTCTCCTGAGTCAGAACATCAGGGCAGGGGCCCTGCCTTCCCATTCCGGTTCTGCCCCCCACCTTCAGCCTCGTTGTTTGCATAGCGCCTGCCCCAATGTAGGATGAGCCTACTTCCCAGCCAGGCTTCCTCCCTAGCCATGCCTGTCCTGTGCTACTCCTTCAGCCATCCCACTACTCCTGTGCTCCTTTTGTTTTACATTTAAAAGTTTGTAAAAAATATTTCTTATGGCCGGGTGGTGGTGGTGCACACCTTTAGTCCCAGCGCTCGGGAGGCAAAGGCAGGTGAATCCCTGAGTTGGAGGCCAGCCTGGTCTCCAGAGTGAGTTCCAGGACAGCAGGGCTACACAGAGAAACCCTTTCTCCAAACACCAAACAAGGGAAAAAATTATGTGTGAAGGTGTTTCATATGCATGTATGTATGTGCATGGCACGCGTGCAGTGCCCATGGAAGACACAAGAGAGTGACATTTTTCGGTAGGCATGAGAGGATCTCATGTACCCCTCGTAAGGACCAGGCATTACTCTGGCCTTCCCCTGTCATCTGGCAGAATGCACTCAGGCAGTACCCTGGTCAGCCCAGAGTTTCGTGACTACTAGTCTGCATGCAGGTGCAAAGGACCCCTTAAAAGAAAGACAGTCTCCCACCTACTCCTGCTGTTTCTCTGTAGGGAAGATAGGACCTATCCTGTCCCCACACCTTGTCTTCTGTCCTGCCCCTGTGTCTCTGTGTCCCTTTCCCTTATTTTCTTGGATCCCCTTCAATAAAACCTTGGGTGTGAGCCCATGTCTACAGGGCTCTGTTTCTCCATCCACCCTGTGGTCTATCACCTGCCCCGGGACTGCGATCCTCGGGGTCCAGGGACGACCGGGGACCTGCTACCTGCTGTTTCAACCCATTCTTCTTCCTCTTTTTTTTTTTTTTTTTTTTTTTTTTTT